GGTCATGTGACCAAAATAACGAAGACAAGTAACCTGATTCTTCACAAAATGACGTCGACTGATCTGGATGAATGTTTGAAGACTCGTTTCAGACCCGAAATTGGTTCCTCACGAGTTGGATGGAAAATTAGAATTCGCGAAAAGCGGTACTCTAATTAACATACAAAATATCGGTGGATTTTTTCGTACCTTTTTAAGAGATATCTGTCACTTCGCTCCATGTTCCAGATATTCTGTTTCTTTCAAGTCACAAATAAAAAAAAACTGGCAGAAAGCGCGGAAACCAGTCACCAGCGCGCGATTGGTTGCAGTTTTTCACAATGAACACTGTTTTCCTTAAAAAAAAAAAAAAAAACGCCAGTGTTGTTTTGAAGTCGTTAACGTCTCTAGTTTAGCTTTAGTCACGGGAATTATGAAGCTGGAAATAACGTGGGCCTTGCGGATGACTAGGAGTTTGCTAGTTAAATACAGATGCATGCATGTCTTGTTACATCAAGTTTATCCGTTGCCTCTCTTCAACACTTCGGGCCAGGAACCCGTTTCTCGAAAGTCCCGATAATTAACGGGCCCGGTAAGCTGTCTCCGTCTACATTAAAGATCGAGGTTTCAATAGTTTTGCATCTAACGTGATAAAACTGTCAGTTAATGAAACAAAGTGGAGTTGTTTGCTAGCCAGGACCCGCGTTCTTATTCTTTATATTTCGTTTGAATATTTGATTTCGGGCCCGTAAAGTTACCGGGACTTTCGAGAAACGGGCCCCAGGGCGGATAAAGGTTGGGCGGTGAAACGAGCGCGTCCGAGCAAAAAGGTGTGATGCAGTGAACTAGGACTCTGCTTAGAAATGTCGCTTGTTTTCGACTCCGGTCAGGGCTTGCGATGTGGTTTGTCCATGGCACTGCCGCTGTCACTGAATTATAGCGGCTTGATTTGTTTTCTTGCAACTTCTTCCTCGTTCCTTTGTGCTGGTACGCTGTCTCCTAGAGACAAATGTTGCAATTCTTGCGGGAGGTTTAATTGGAGTAGACAAACAGCCCTTTCAAAGGGTTTCTCGTACAACTTCCATAACTCTACCACTGAATTATATTTTCGTTCTCTTACTCGCCAATGTCGATTTTATTCCAAAACAAAAACAACTAAGTACTGTCTAAAACACGAAGGAAAATCTCATCCATATCATCCATGGCAAAACAAAAAGACAGCAGATCGTGTTTCATAACTAGATAACGTGTATTTTATAAATGCGTGCAGCTCGTGCAAGGTGAAATTATGCTAATTTCAATCACCATCATCCTTCTTTTTAATTTTGAAAAAAACATCTCATACGTCTTTCTGTTTCTTCGAAACTTCAAAATTAGTTTCCCCTCAGTTTTTACTGTTTACCTTGTTTTGTTTTAGAGAGAAAAACGGCGAAAAACCTTACAACTAACCTCAATAAATTTTGTTTACCTGCGGGTGCCGGATTTGCAACGCATTGCGCGAATCGCCATGGCGCGTTGCACCCGAGAAGCAAAGTTTGCAGAAGTACAACGCTACTATATCAATATATATCAATCTAATTTTTTGTTATGTTATATAAAATTTATCCTTCTTTAACATATGTAAAAATTGAGGTTAAGAAGTGTTAAGCTTTTGCAAACGAAACGGCGAAAGACGATTAGGTGATATTTAGTGGAAGGAGGAGGTATTCAACACTTTCAAATTAAACTCAAATTTTGGCATTATACGACCAACAAGTTTGACTTAGACGCATACAGACACAAATATATGAAACTGTTTATTGATATTGTTATGAAACGAATTTATCTATTTAACATTGTAGCTTGAAATTACAAAAAGAAAATAGAATTTCCGGTTTGCAAAAAGGAAAATTTCGCCGGCCTTTAAGCTCACCGGAAGCGCGGAAAGAGCGCTCGTGCCAGTCCTACTCCGCATCACACATTAAATGAAGAGCGGAGCGCTCGTTTCACCGCCCAACATTTATCCGCCCTGCTTCGGGCGCTGATCAGCCCGCCAGCGAACATTCTGGAAATCAGATATTCGCCGAATTCAAACTAGAGGACATAAAAGGGTTGGCCTTATTTTATATCTTTACGCCGGACTAGTGTAAAAATATGAAACAAAGTCGACGCTTTTACGTCTCAAGTACATGCGTCTAGTCGATATACAGTCGAACCTCTTTAATAAGGACACTGAGGGAGCTGTAAAAAGTGTCCCTATTAACGAACGGGTAAAATTTAGAGAAAATGTAAGGGCTTCTTTCCCCAGGGACAAAGCAAACTGTCCCTAATAATGAGGTGTCCATATTTAGCGAGTCTCCGTAAAGCGGAGTTTGACGATCGATGGATGAGAAACATCTTAGATCTCTCACACGTTTACACTAAAATGTGAATACCCGTCTAGTACATGTACACTTTTACATCCAGACTTTAAACGCCTCTGGACGTTTTGGCAGTCCTGTAGCTAGTATAAATATGGCCATTAATGTGAAGTTCCTGGAGAAAGACTATAGAGAACAACTGACTCATACTGGTCTGTTTCTAGCCTGTGTGGCAGGCGCAAAAAGGGGAGGGGTAATCTCCATGCCTTTTGCCCTTCTTACTAATCCCCTCAGTACCCGTTTCCACGCCGCGGGACGGCGCAAATGGAAGTGGACAGAAAAGAAAAGCGGGGAGAAAGGTGGGGAGTAAGGAGAGAGGTGATAAAGTTCTCTTCCCAGCTCGAGATGGCAGGAAAGCTGACGGATTGTCGGGAAATGAAGATATTTCATGATACTAAAAAACTATGCGTGCGAAAGGAACAACAGGTTGGAAAGAAAGTCATAGATTAATGTAGATCTAAGGGAAGACCTCCAAGGTCTTTTTGATGTAGTGCGAGATACTCTTGACTTAATGCCTCTTCCTCTCACTCTTACGTTTTTTTTATTACAATCACAATAATATTATCATTATTACTATTACTACTCATTGCACTATTATTGTTATTGTTATTATCAACAATTATTATTATTTATTTTCTCTTTCCTTCTTATTTCGCCCTACTCTATCTGACCGCCTGGAGTAGGCCGGTGTACCTGGCTGTTTTTTGGTGTATTTTGTAATTTTGGGTGGGGGGTGGGGGGGGGGGGGTTCGTCCTCGGCCAGTTCGGCTTTCGCGCGCCTGAATCTCTTACTTTACGAACCACAAATGGGAAAAAAATAACAATAAAAAACCGACAGCTACCACTGGCTACGCAGGCTAAATATACTCTCATTGACCTATCGGTACAAGTGCGTTTCACTGTAGTTCAAAATATATAGGGGTTTAAACTCATTTATACAATCTTTATACAACATAACATTGCAACTTTATTTGCAACTGTTAATGTATTTACCTGATACCAGCCTATCAGGGGACAGAGGATAGTTAACAAGACACCAATGCAAAAAGAAAAATGATAGTAATGATAAAATAATATTAAAAATCATTGTGTATATAGATTATAAAAACAACCTCCTCCCTAAGGCTCTCCCCCTAGAAAATGGGAGGGGCGGGAAAATTCACCAAAATGTAACATTTATAACAATTATTTTTAAAAAATTATAACAGTTTGTAAAATCAAGGAGTTAAAACTCTACTAAATAAACTAGAAAATGTTTAAAATATTTTAAAAAGTCTTTTAAGACTTAAAAGAGCAAAACATTGGCAGATAATCTGGTACTCAGTGATAACGAAGCCGACAACGAGAGATCTGGGTACGGATCTAGATCTTCAACAAAGTGGGGGCCCCTCTCATCAAGACCCTAAGAAGAGAAGGGATCCGGCCTCGAAAATAACATTCTCGGCCTTGCAGGCTACAGTTTGGCCTAATTATAAGGTAGGGACCCGAGCCCCTGGGACCCCTCCCCTCGATCCGTTAATGTTCTCTTCGACTTTACACGTCCAGTTTAGACCATCTGTACGGATCAAGGTACCTTTCCTTATTATTGATTTGTTAGTGCAGTATTAAAGGGGGCTGTGCCACGCCTGTCGAGATCATTTTGTTAATATTAGGAATCACTCGTCCTTACTTAAAAAGAAACTTAACTTAAGCGAAGAAATTACTTGTAAATGACAAAATTACTACTTTATGTCGAACAAATATCTCCTTAGCATTATATCAAAAGTTACAGATAAAAAAAATGAACTTTGAAAAACTGGTAGGCTAACAAATTTTCAAAAACCACAGTTACAAGCCGTTTCATCTTCTTCCAAGTTTTGTCCTTTTTTATTTTCATGTTTTGAGCGATTATTTTCATGTCTCACTAAATTTGGTGGCAGTTACCACTGTTTGGAGTATAATAAATTTTGTGTCACAGCTCCTTTAAATCTACATACGTATGTAAAGTCCTTTTTTCTTTTTATAAAGTTATATATTGCATGACTTAGCACTGAAACTGTCGCTAACATAGCTGGATGATGACAACTCATTTTGCACTAAAGGGTGACAAATCCGGCTTTCGAGATTTCTCACCAAATCCCTTAAGTTACGCATATTAGCGTAACAGGAGAGACGAGGGAAAATATGCAACAAAACTTGGTCGTAAAAATGTCACGACCATGTTAAACTAGACAAACTTAGCCAAAGTACCACGCTTCTTTAATTGTGGCTTACATTTATCATTGACATCTTCGCCTTGCTACCAACTCAAGGAATATTTTATAAGATTGTATTTGTTTGTAAAAAGAAGAAGAGAACAAAAAAATGCTGAACCTTTTTTCAAAGAGCATCTAGTTGCATCTACAAACTGGCAACGAGACTAATCAAATAAACGAGGAAAGTTCTTTGTCGATAATTGTGGCGCAAATACAAGAACTAGTAAAGTGAGCGAACAAGAGGTGGAAGAAATGTTCAGCATCGATATCTTTCTTCTTCTACGTAACCATCATCATCCGATCAACGACTCATCGCGGGTAATTTGCGCGAGCTTCAAGATACAATGCTGGAGAGAGATCATCGTCTAATCATTTACCCACTTAGTCTCTATATAAAAATAACACAATGCGACTGGATATCCCGTTTAAGGTTCTCCGCCTCTAGCGAACTAATCGGATTATCTTCCGCATTCAAACAGATCAAACTGTTATTAATCAGTAGAGCATCTACCAATTCTACAGCTCCAGATTCAGTGATATTGTTACTGGTCACAATCAAGTGCGTAAGAGTACGATTTGATCGAAGTGCTTTTGCAAACGAGGATGCTCCCGAAGAGCCGATCGCATTGCTTCCCAACTCTAAAGCCTTGAGAGAACTGTTAGACGCAAGAGCTTTCGCGAGGGCTTCTGCACCCACACAGCTGATCTTATTGAGAGCCAAATCTAAATGGGTCAATTGAATACCAGTAGATTCCAGTGCACTTGCTAAGGCTGCTGCCCCTAAATCGCCAATAAGGTTAACTTGTAGATTTAAATGGGTCAAGCTGTGATTTGATTGCATTGCCTTTCCGAGAACTTCTGCTCCAGGATCTCCAATTCCATTTTCAGTCAGATATAGTCGACTTAGGGAGCAGTTTGATTTCAGACCTTCTCCAAGGGATGCTGTTCCCGAATCACCTATCGCATTGCTGCATAGGAACAAATGACTCAAAGTGCAGTTTGATTGGAGAGCCTCTCCAAGCGCTGCAGCTCCCGCCTTCCCGATCTCATTGAATGAAAGGTCTAAATAAGTCAACGATCGATTCGATCGCAAGGCTCGCGCAAGTGATGAAGCGCCAGATGCCCCAATCAATTCACCGCGAACAAGGTGTTGACGGATTTCAAAATCAGAATCCAATATAACAACGGGTTTTACGTTTTCTTCACTTCTTAATGGATTACTTAAATCGAGGAAGGTCAGAGAGGAGTTAGATCTCAACACACGAGCAAGCTCCTGAGCTCCTGGATCACCAACATCATTATCACTTAGATCCACATACTGTAGAGAACGATTGCTATTTAAACTATTTGCTAAAACAATTGCTCCTAGATCAACCTAGACCAAAGGGCGGTCTCAATCTACCCAATTTCATGTTATTGACTGTAGAGCGTTACCTATGACAATGGCGTCTAAATCACGGACGCCAGCGTTACGAAGACTCAGATGTGTCAAACTATGACTCGCGCGAATAACTTCTGCGAGTGCTGCGGCTCCCTCAGAGCAGATAAAGTCTCCTCTAAATTTCAAATGTGTTAAATGACGAAACGAACAAAGACACTTCCCAAGTTCTCTGGCACCAAAATTCTTGATCCATGACTGGTGTTGTGTAAAACTTGCAATGAAGCTGTTTTTTTCAGAAGAGGAAAAAGAATATTGAGAGTCTTCTTTCAAGTAAGGGTAGCTACAAAGCTTCAAAAAAAGAAAGTCAGTGTTCACGCTAAGCAAATTCAAATGCTTTAAGTCTTTTTCACGAACCCCCTCAACTGTTGCTAACAGTACCTCGTTTAAAGTACTATTTACACATAAATCTGTCAATGTGCTGTTGGTTCTCAAGTATTCGGAATAAACGATATAATGGCGGTCAAGTTCGCCAAGGCTCAACTTTCTCACCGGAAAGCATTTCGCCAGTACTCGCACCATTTTTCTTTGGTAATCCTTTAGTTCACTCTCATTGTCTTCACACCCTTTAATAACATGAAGTGTTTTAGTAACCACATCGTCTAAAACTTTCTCGTTATCACTCCATTTGTCCACACTTATAGTCCAGTCACTAGGTTTGCGTTCGCAGACCTCGAAATACCTGTCCGCATCAGCAAGGGCGCCATCGTTTGTCATATGTGGCCTTTTTTGAAAGAAAAAAGAACAAAGACGTGATACTACAAAAACTGCCATTTCACTGCTCTTGCTTGACACTATTGGAATGAGAAATTCCCACACCTGCCAGTTGTCAACAGGACTGAGCTTAGCTAGCAGAGACTGGGCTTTTTCTTTGTTTCCAGTTATGATTTGCTTGGCCAGGTAGAATGCAGCAAAATATTCCTGGAAAGTTTTGTGAGTAAAAGCATAGCATGGCTTTGGCCTAATTTTGCTCAAACTAGGCTCACGGGAAAGAAACGGTAATTGTAGGAAATCAGTGGACTCGCTTGTTTGGTCATCTCGACTGAAATACAACTGATTTTTCAACAGGGCTTCAAATGCTGTTTCTCCTAACTGATTCAGCTCGTCTGAACATCTCTCAAGGGGATCGTCGTCACTCAAAGGCACGCCCTTCCTGGTAAAATACCTTCTCAGAGCACATGAGACAAGATCATCGTAAATTTTCGTTCTACTGGAAGGGAAAATTCCCTTTGTCTCTTCACACAGAAGACACAACAAAGCTGTATTTAGTGGATTAGCCGTTAAGTCTCTCAGCTCTGTGTTAATTTTCAGCTGCTGAATCATTTTTTGCGCAAGGCTTTGGTCCTCGTGCTTGCTGAAATACTTCTTGATGTAACTGTCCGTTTCATCATTAGTATATCCGGTGATTTCCAGGAGCGTGTCACAGTATCGTCGTAGTCTTATTCCCGCTTCATGTCGAGCTGTTAAAACGAGGAAGGTGTTGGAAAAAATTTTGCCTTGAATCAATGACTGAATGCACGGAAGCAGCTCCTGACGTAATTCATCCAGACCATCCAGAATCAGCAATATTTTAGACTGATTTGAGCGAATAAAATGGAAGAAGTCTTCTTTTTCCTTCTTGCCAGCATCTTGTGGTAGAAGCTGATCATCAATAGCTTCCTCGATGTTAACGGTTTTCATGTGCATGTCACGGCATTTCAACAGAAGCAATATCTCCACTTCAGGAAACGAAGCGTCAGATGCAATTTCCCCCAGGGACCAATCATGAGCCAGCTTTTGACAATAGGTAGTTTTACCCATCCCAGGATTCCCCTCGATCAGCACCACTCTTGGATTGTCACATTCTGGATGTGACTTGAATATTTCTGTCATATTGACGCTGTCATCGGTTAGTTGTGAACGTTCTTTTCTTCTACTAAAAATCTGCAGTCTTGTAAAAATGTTCGATAGCTTCAGCTGTAGTTCATCTTCACACCATGGAAAGGGACACAACACCGCGCCTTTGTAGTCTCGTCTGATAAGTTCGACAAGTTTCTCTGGAATAACTAATGAGGGAAAATAAAAATGAGGCCTATAATTTTATCCGCGCTTAAAAAAAGTACATTTGAGCACTGGACAAAAAAGACCATATTTTAACAAGAAAGAAAGAACACTATGCTTTAATTTCTCTCGCCTACGTAGCAGGCGCTTGGAACTAGTGGGCGCGTGTCTTCCTCGCGCGCGCCAGTTCTCTCTTTCGCCCACTACTTCCAAGGGTCTGCAACGAAGGCTATAATTTCCCCTTATTTACGTCGGCGTTTTCGTTTGCCCCTGTTGGTATGCGCACACCATTTGTATCACGAGATTAAATGTGATCTGATGACTTTCTTTGATAACTGCATACAAGGCTATTAAACTATTCTCTCATTTCTTGTAACAAATAAAATTCCACTCTAAATCAGTTAAAATTATTAGAGAGAAAATATAAGCATCGCGTTTACAGCAAACAGCAAACGTGAGATTCAAGTTGAGAAATTTTCAAAATGAGAAATGAGCGGATAAAAACAGCTCAAAACAATTGTTATTGATTTGGCGTAAATCTACCAATTTCCGTGTAGTTAAACTTATAAATGAACAGTAAACGATTTAGTAATGGAACACTTGGTCACGTGATACAAACTAACATTTGCCGTTTGCCGTAAACGCGAATGATAACCTACCGTCAGATGTCATCAGTGGGTCTTGAAGAGAAGCGTTTGACTCAGCACATTCTCTTGTCGTCAGGTCATGAAACTTTGCTGCAAAAGGAACAAAAAGGAGAAAGGAGAAACGTCGACTTGGAAGTGCATTTTCGATTTTCAGAACTTACTCCGCGTGCAAAATAATATCCTGCTATTTAAAAAGGAGGAGTCAAGTAGTTGCCGCAATTCCCCGGGGCCCCCCCCATGAGGGTATGTAATGGATATGCCCATACACGGCGGGTTTCCCCAGCGCTAAAACTTCGAGGACTAAATCTTGCCCCATAGGTAAAGTCTCCGCAAAAGATCTTGCCCCATATTATAAAGCTTCGCACGAAAGCTCCACTTTTGCAAGCCGCCATTTGAAAGTATTCAAGGACAGATTGCTTTTAAAAATACAGTTCAATGCGTTAACAAGCAAACCGTTGTACGGAGTATAGAAAATTGGCCCATTTCTAGAACGGGGTATCAGTTTTAGGGCGAATTCTAGAACGGGGTATAAAAAATTGGCCCATTTCTAGAACGGGGTAACAATTTTAGGAGAAATTTTTTCTAGAACGGGGTGCCAATTTGGAGTCCCGGGCGGCACATACCCACCCAAAAAATACCCAAGTGCCCCCCCCGGGCGCAATTCGGACGATCGCATCCTGGGTGAGTGTCTTTTGTGGCGGTGACCTTGCGTGTTAGATAACTAACAAGAACCTTTACTGCTTTCGCACAGAGCAGATATCAACAGCGAGGTGGGTCATATTCGGTAAGAAAAAACGAGACTCAAAACAAATAAGGCTTATTGCTTCATCTCCCAATTAACTTCAAGACAGTGTGAATGGTCTTTAACTCGTTTAAATCTCTGATCTGCTGACTTCTTTTTGTAAATGATACTGGAAAAGATTTCATTGACACATTGAAACTACCTTCAAGGCTGTGTACTTGGTCTTCAACTTGTCCAGTACGAGTCTCCAGATTTCCAAACCTCTGAGCTGTATCCTCTAAAATATGCAAAAAAAAATAAAATGTGCGACGTCACGAATGAAAGTGCACACTCATAAAAATGTTAAATAAAATGAATTTTCACCATCAGTGTTTTAAATGAAAAAGAGATTTGAAGAACTAATATTCATAGCCCACAGAGCAATCAGTGCCTTATCTCGAAATTACCTTCAAGACTGTGTACTCGGTCTTCAACTTGACCGGTGCGAGTCTCTAAATTTCCAAACCTCTGATCTGCATCCTCTACAAAACAGAAGCAGAAAGTCCACAATTTTCAAACACTCTGATGAGTAAATATAAGGTTTAGAAACCATTATATTATGCTGCAATAATGACACAAGAATTATGAAAATGGGCGGGGAGGGGTTAAGTAGGATTACCTTGAAAGGTCTTTAGTCTTTCCACCATCTGTTTCATCTCTTCAAGAATTACGGCAACGTTTTGCAGCTCTTGCTGTACTCTCACTTTTTCCTGGTCAAATTCTTCAGACAGGTTGCTCACATTATCTTGCAGAAATTTTACTTCTTGCTGAACAAGTTGAAGCAATGCTGGGTCCATGGGGGAGTTCATGCACAACAGAGTCCCTGCAACAAAGCAGTCCGGATTACACACTAATACCTGACACATTAATATAGGTCATGAACAGCTTCCTGGAAAGACCATTATAAATATCCAGGGACAGTTTCTTGGAAGAGAGGTGATCTCTTCCTTAAAGAACACCCAGACCTCATGATCACCTCTTCTTCAACTTATCTGGGCAAACATGTTGAATTCTAGTTGGCAGGGTGAGGCATGAAGCAAACTGCTGTTGGGATTAGTTTTCTCTTTTCTGTGGGAGGGGTGCATTGAGGATAATTGAGATTTCAGCTACAAAAGGTAAAAAAATACAGTCGAACCTCCATGTGAGACCACCTCTTGTCGGCCACCTCCCATAAAGGACCGCCAATCCAAAACACCAAACTTTTCCCCGTCAAAGCCTTACAGTTGGAACTTCTAGTAGACAACCACCTCCTGTAAGCGACCGCAACCACGTTTTGGGCGCGACGGTTAATGATTTTCCATTGTTTTTAACCTCTAGTAAGCAACCACTTGACGCATTTTTTGATCTCGGCTATTTTGCTGTGTGCACAGTGTTACTTAGAATATCTGAAGAACTTCAGTGGCAACATGGAACTACACATATCCTAACTAAGATATTGCATGCAATAATTATTATCTTCCACAAAGTAGATGTGCCTGGACCTCTTCTCGGAAGAGACCCCCTAGTGGTGGATATTTCTTGTAAATGACTACCTCCCATAAACAACCACTCAGTCTTTGCATTTTGGGTGGTCGCTTATAGGAGGATCGACTGTGCTAAATATTGTACCAATACAATATATTATTTGATTTTCATATTTTAACTGCATGTACAAAGAACTCTACCTTTAGTCTCCCAGTCTTTTAGTTCCGCAAGGAGTTTAGCTTCATCTGCAGCAGGTAGAGCCAGGACTCTTACTAGGTGTTCCATCTCAACAAAACTCTGCTGAAACTTAACAGGATCCCACTTACTGAAGACACAGTGTGCCCAGTCATTCCTGACACTCTTGACATCACCAGCTGCAGCTCCCACAACAGCTGAGAAGACAGCTACACCACCAAGCAGTGTGAGTACAGCTGATGCATCACAGTGGTCATCAAAAGCATTGAACTTTGCCATAAAGTTTTCTACATAGAGCTTGGCAAAGTCAATGTGTGATAACACTCTACAATCAAACAAGGAAATGTTGTATTTTCCACCAGGAAGCTTTGGGTGAAGACTGTTACCATTGATGTTCTCATACTTTAAAAACTTTCTTGCAGGCCACCTTTGAAGACGACCAGATGTACTTTGCGTGTGAATATTGTGGCTTGTCTTGAGATTGTTGTATTCCTTATCAACCTCTTGTTCCACAAAAGGACGGATCTGTGGCACAAGGATCTTGTTGAGTGCTATTCCCACCACAAGCCATCTTTTCTGGTTGTCAGATGCACCAAGATGAGTGCATCTAAATGATAAATAAGGAAAATAAATGGTAAAGCCAACAGTGTGTACAACAATATAATTGTGAAAAGGCGAAGTTCACAGTCATGTATACTGCGTAATTTTTTTTTTTGGCACATGGAGGTTATGTTGATGGTTTCAAAACTAACTATTGCTTTTTGTTGTTCTGTAGTCAGTTTAAAACTAACTTGTAAGTATCGTTTAAATTTTGATAATAAGTATCTCTTTAAAAACATCTTGAATTGAAGGGGGAATTACTAGCCAACTTCTCCCACTGAAGTATCTGATACTTTCCATCACCCTTTGGTGTTGAAAGCAATGTTCATGAATACTTGACTAAAACAACAGGGTTATTTGTTTATTGACACAATAATGGCTACACCATTATTTTGCTGTTTATAAATTGGTAATATAATGTCCCCCTTTGACAATGTTCAAGATATCCACAGTAACCAAAACTCTTTTGTTCAGAAGCCTCCAGAACAATTTTAGCAATCTTCAGACACATTTAAAACATAGATCTTTGCCAATGATCGGATACTGTCGCATATCCAGACTGGTGAGCTCCGGCTAGTATACAGACTGTCTGTACCTGCCAACTTTTTCTGAGTCAAATGCATGAGAATTTTACCTTGTCATGACTGGGATTTGCGGAAAAGTCCCGGCGACTTCCAAAGATTTCCAACAACTTTCAGAAGACTTCTGAACATTGCCAAAAATGTCCACAGATGTTCTGAAGACGTTTGAATACTTCCGAAGCGACTTAAAAGACAACAATTTTAGCATGCTTTGATCTCGTTAGAATACAAAAAGTCATCATTTAACACGTTTTTGGATTGAATTGTCATTATTCATCACGTGTTACAGAACAAATTATCCGAATTTGTGAGTCCGGCAAGAGAAATTGTCCTTGATGTGTGAGATCAATGTCTTTAGTCCACAGGTGTGAGACTCAAGCATAATACGCGAGAGTTGGCAGGTATAACTGTATACTAATGTGTGACATATGTCATATTATTCTTACCCAGATGAAGACAAAGCCATTTCAAAATTTAGTTTTCCATGTTAATCAGCTCATCCTGTTTGACATACCTGAGTAATAATCAGATAAATAACATTTCAAAATAATCCAAACCTGCTTTAGGTAAGTGGAAAGAAAAGGGCCAACTTAAAATCAAAGAAACACATACAGTTACATGTTTCTGAATCTGTTGTGAAACTTTGGACACCAGCTATTGTACCAGTGAGTAGATACAGCAATTAAGATATAAATATGAACAAACAGTTGTAATATCTGCCTAGGGAAGGGGAGGGAATATGGTAATACTTTATATGGGCTGTATGAGAAGGTATTGCTTTGAACAGATTGGGGTTGGGAAATTAGAGAGTCCATTGAAGAACAGGTAATAGTTTATGGCAAAGTGTTGTTCCAGAAATTATATCCATACTGCCCAGAGCACATCTTTTCACCACTTTAACCGGCTGCACTGTTTTCAGTGTGACTGTGATCGCCTTCTTTACAGTATTATGTAAGGGAAACTAACACAGACTGTGCTGGGGAAAGCTCGGGATTGAAAGCAAATTGGGACCTTTATAACCTTCACTTCCGGGTCGAGTTTAAATAGTAAACGGTAAGGCGATAAACAGCAACTTCACATTTCGAAGTCTGAGAGAAAAAGTCTGAGTTGCCAACTTATAAAATTAAATTTTGCACATCATAGATCATATTCCACACAATTCTAGGTGATTTAAGGAACAGACAGCGAGCACATTCTCCTTTCATTGCACGGCGGCGTAATAAAATACATGTAACACAAGGAGTATCATACGATTACTTGTAAACGGTTCCCAAAGATTTCATAAGCCTTGAGAAATTAAAAATCAACCAATACTTACAAACTAAAAAACGTAGTTAGGGCAGCAAAATTTTCCTGAATTCAAATCGATGGAAAGAACTGGCAAGACAACTCCTTCTTCTTGCAGAAAACAGTCAGGTATGCTGGTCATGTGACAACTGCTTTCTAGTTCCAGGTAACGCACATGCAGAAGTCACGCTAGGTTGCACTTACAGTTTAACCACGTTTGAGAGATTCTTCTGGCCAGAGAACGCAGAAAAAAACGCTCTAGTACTCTAGATCACTGAGAGCGACGTGCTGGATCTTAGTTTGGATGCATCAATGAAATCGAATTTCGAGGAAAATAAAAATTAAGAGAAACAGATACATTTCTTTATTGAGCAACTATTATTAATCAAAATTAGCATTTGCTAATTAATAGGCTCTTTGTATGACTTGATCACGTGATCCACTTTCGGTAAACACGAAAACAGTTCAGTTTTGAAACATTTTGCCAGCACAAGCTGAAAGAGCATATTAAAATTAGGTAACCTGAGTATTTTCAGCCATATATTTCAAGATCTTTCAAAAGCAGAGGTTGCAATGGCCGCTGAAAGTTGGAAGCATTAATGTTTGAGAAAAACAACTTTTGCCATCCAGTCACACTTGCATGGTTTTCCATACAAATCCTCGTAATTTCAAAACTTTCATGAAATATTTCCTTAAGCATTACAGGGCTCAAATCTCCTTTTAATGCATCACAGGTAATTTGAACTCTTCAATGCAAGAGGAAAAGATATAACGAGGATTTGTATGGAAAACCATGCAAGCGTGACTGGATGGCAAAAGTTATTTTTCTCATACAAATGCTTCTCACTTTCGGCGGTTGTTGTAATCGCTACTTTTGAGATATACGGCTGAAAATTCTCAGGTTACCTAATTTTAATATGCTCTTTCAGCTTGTGCTAACAAATTTTTTCAAAAGTTAACTGTTTTCGTGTTTACCGAAAGTTGATCACGTGATCAAGTCATGCAAAAAAAAAGCCTATTGATTATTTCACCAAACAAAGTCAGTAACAATATTAAGATCAACCTATCGGTGCTCCAGGTAATAATGAGCTACATCCATTCTATAGGGAGGAGCTATATTCAGCAGGATTACCCGCAGGTAATATTATTATTATTTTTTTTAAAAATATATCTATGAACAAAATAAGTTATTCTCTCTTTCTTTGTAGCAGCTCTCAGTTCCAGGGTTTATTCTAGGAATTCATATATGTGGGCCCTTTTCCTTCCCTGCTAGCAGAGGTCTCTCACGACGAGGCAAGGGAACCCTTTTCCAAGAAAGAGGGCCCAAGTTAGGAAGTTATATTAACCTTTTTTGCACCACCTGATCTGATGTTTTCTCTTTCACCTCATTTCAATGCTATTATTGCTGTCATGCTATTGACCCTGCTGTTTGACTTCACCTTACATTCTAGAGCAGATTGAGCTCCCACGACCACTATCCTAAGGACAGCACCTACAATGGTCATTCCAAATAGTCAAACAGGCTGGTCTTTACAACTGCAGCTTTTCAATCCACTTTTCATGTACTTGTACTACAGAATGAATTGGTCTTCCCAAGGCTGTCACTAAGATTTCAAGTTGCCGGGTAAATACAACAAGTAGGTGGGCAATCAAACAGCTAGGAATTTCTTTTGGTTCTATTTTTCTTCAACATTGTATTTTCCAATGAAAGTAGCCAGGGACCACATTCATAGTAGCTAGGAGAAATCCTCTGTCCCCGGCTCTTAATGACATCCTTACTCCCTTTACATTGTAAAACATATGTTAAGAATGTGATACTGTACTCCATATTCTATTTCTTACTCTCTCACACTAAATGCATGTTAACAACCTCTGATTAATGTCTATCATAATTTTTAAATAAACAAATACTAACTTGTACAAAATGCTGTTTTGTTTAACCTGTTCAGAAAGTCTCTGATTACAGTGTACCACATAGCCCAATTCATCTTTAAGACCCTAAAATCTATTGGTTTTTGTGTACAACTGTAAGTACCTATGACCATGACCTAAAGTAAAGATAAAGAGTGCTATTTTAACTCTGCAGCACAAAGGTCATCATATGGCTAACAAACCTGAGGCTGATGGTACGCTAAGCCCCTCTCTCTGTCAGCGCTCTGTTTTATGCCTATTTAAAGGTACTTAAAGCTAGATGTGTACAGAAAATAAGTGGGAATCAAACTCAGGACTTCTAGCACAGAAACCCACACACTAACCAGCCATGCCAATCCTTGCTCCCAACTTGCAAGCTTGCCTGTTCAGCCTGCAAAGCACTTTGTGTTACCCAATCCCTCTAAGATTTAACATGCAGAGGTTAAAAAGGGACAACAGCAGTCTAAGATTAAGAGATTGTTGCTTAAGGTGGGTTCTTTAATTAAGTATAATTCATGATATGCATCATTATCTTTTAAATGGGATCTGCCAAAGATATCGAAATAGATGACTTAAACCAAAAATAACTGTCTAAAAGTGAATAGGCTCTTTGCATGACTTGAACACGTGATCAAATTTTGGTAAACACAAAAACAGTTCACTTTTAGAAAGATTTTGTTGGCACAAGCTGAAAGAGCATATTAAAATTAGGTAACCTGAGCATTTTCAGCCTTACATCTCAAAAGTAGCGATTGCAATAGCCGCCGAAAGTTTGAAACATTTGTATGAGAAAAACAACTTTTGCCATCCAGTCACACTTGCCTGGTTTTCATAAAAATCCTTGTAATTTCAAAGTTTTCAAAACTGTCATGAAATATTTCCTTAAGCATTACACGGCTCAAATCTCCTTTTAATTCATAACAGGCAATTAGAGCCCTTAAATGTGTAAGGGAAAGATTAAATGAGAGTTTAAAATTTTAGAATTAACAAGGATTTGTTTGGAAAACCATGCAAGCATGACTGGGTGACAAAAGTTGTTTTTCTCATACAAATGCTTTCAACTTTCAGCGCCGTTACGACCACTACTTTTGAGATACACAAATGAAATTTCTCAGGTTGTTTCATTTTAATATGCTCTTTCAGCTTGTTCTAACAAAATTTTTCAAAACTGAACTATTTTCTTGTTTACCGAAAGTTGATCACGTGATCAAGTCATGCAAAGAGCCTATTACACAATATTATTTCTTCTATCATCCAGGCTCCCAACTTGAGTCATGCCAGACTTTAACTTTGCCATCAGAAGATGCAGATAAAAGAGCAATCTCAGTTGGGTGATAAGATATAGAGTACACAACAGACTGATGTGCCTTCTCCAGTGTGTGTACTATCTTTCCCTCTACCAGATCCCAGAAGCAAATCCTGCCATCCTCAGAGCCACTCACCACCTGCACATCACTGCTGCTCAAACAACTGTCCACTTTGTAGTCTCTGTTTTTATGACCTGTGAATCTGAAACAAAATAAATTTAAGTCACCTCTCCTATCCTAAAATGTACTAGCACTGATCGAAAAATACCCACGACAAAGGTTACATGACTGTACCTGTAACAACACTGGTTAGTCAGGGTTTGAGCTAGGATTTGATCACTGGGGGACAATGTGTCCCCTTGTCTAAAATTTTGGGGAACATTTTTATTTTTAGGGGGACAGACAAATTAATTGTTATTCAACATTTTTTTTACGCTGTGGCTATATGTGTGGCTATACAGGCAAGCCAACAAACACCTTTTTTTTTTTACCTGATCCTTGTAATACAAGAAAAGTGATACAAACAAGAAAAGTTAAGTTTTTGGTGTTGAGACTTTTTTTCTGGTCACATTTAAACAGAGGATCAATGACTATGCTTTATACTTCAAAACATTTCACAGCAGAATCTCATCCCGGCATCCCCTTGTAAACTTCAATTCCTTTCTTAATTACTGGTAGACGTACGCCTCCTTTTCATAGCACAACTATGTGTGATCTCGCAACCAAGTTTTCTGGAAAGTTCGTGATTTTTTCGGTTTCCTTCGATCCTCATCCATTTCTTCCTGATTAATACACTGTTCTTCTTCTGTATCATTTTTCTCTGATTCACTCTGGCTTTGATTTGGAGCGAAAAAGTGTTCTAATGTTCGAACATGTTTTCGATTTGACATGTTAAAGACTGCCAGGTGCGTTCACCACGCTTGGTTAGAGCATGAGACGTATGTGTTCAGTAGAGCGTGACTGAAAGGTGACTTTAGAATGAACTTTAAACATGCGATGAAATATATTTTCCACTTTTTGTTTTAGCTTGCAATGTCTGTACTGAACTAAATCTCTTCGATCATGTGTGCTACCTTTCGAGTTTTTTCCCTAAATTTTGAAGGGGACAAATTGTTCCCTTGGCCGTTTTAGTGCCAGCGATTATGCTAAAAGGGCAAAAAAATCTCCTACCTTCAGAAACTTGAACGTTAATGAAGAGTCACTGCAAATTGGTCCCCAAATTGACGGTGATTTCGTCTGTTATTGATAATTCTATTCATATCTCTTATTGTACGTAAATTCTTTGGCCTTTTACTGACCACATTCATATTTTTAATAATACATTGACACTGGTGTGTTTTTTTATCGTTTTTTCAATTTTCATTATCCTTTTAACATTTTTTACACAGCCCCACAAGCTATGTTAGCTTTAAAACCCACCATGTTTAAATAAAAGATGTTCTTGTTGTTTTTGTTACCTCTGCAGCTGTAAGCTTTCCTTGTTTATTACATATATATCAATCCTTACTTACTTACATGTAATTATCATTATTCGAATATATATTTTTTGGCTTTTATATGAAAGTGAAGATATGAAATTGAATATACAGCATAATTGAACAGCAGGAGAACACATGAAGATTATAATAGTTATGTAGTTATGTATGCAACAAAAAAAGGTGCTAGGGGCTTTGGTAAAATGGTAAATACTTTATTCGTAGGCTAGGGCAATGAACAAAGCTACAGTAGCTAGTTTAAAGGCATGCCACTTAGTAAAAATTGAAACAGAATTAACTAATATGACACAGGTGACCATGCCTGGGAAAAAAATCAGGGGACTTAGACAAAGGACTGTGATAGAATGCCAGTCTGCTGCACCTTCCACTGGGCCCACTGTCTCCTTCCATAAACTTTTTTTTTTTTTTAATTTAATTATTTTTTTTTTCAAGGAGAAGGCGGCAATCGGGTTTGGTGTGTGGATGGGGTTTAGGCGTGTGGTTTTTCGAAATACGAAGGGGGGCATGGCTTGGGAAAAAATTCGGGGGCTTTGGCCAAAGAATGGGGAAGGAGGCCCGGCTGGCGGACCTTCCCATGGGGCCCCCGGTTCCTTCCATAAACTTTTTTTTTTTTTTAATTTAATTAATGCATCATTTTTGCTGCGATGGGAATCAAAAACTACTCTTACATGTAAATGGTAAATGTACATCTATGTACAGTAGTATATTTTGTGAACATAAAACTTGGTTACTTACTCATTTAGTAACTCTCCTGTGTCTTTGTCCATCAGACGGATGGTATCATCAAGAGTGGATGCTAACACACACTGGCCATCCCTGGTAAAACTCACACTAGTTACTGGGTGGCCAATACAGTCTACATGCAACTGACCCATGCGGATATCATAGTTGCGAACTTTACCATCGATGGATCTTAAGACCAAATTAAAAACAGTGATAGACAATGAGAAAAAAATAACTACAAAATTCAAACAAGTTTTGGCCTTTGATTCTCTTCAAATCCCAAGTCACAAAAATACATGTAATATTTATATTATCTATGAAATTTATACCACACTAATTTAGCCTGTTTTAGAAGAATTTCTTGCAGCCACTAAAAGAGCTGCCATATGACTCATTAACAAAGTAAATTACATTTAAAGAGCATTTTCACATAATGTCACAGCGGCCATATTGGTGTTCCAAAACAATGAAACTATGACTATGTTGGTGTTCCAAACAAATCCTTAGGGAGTTATACTCTTTTCTGATGAAAATGCTTTCTTTTGTTCCAATAGATTTGCATAGATGCTGGCCACGTGAGTGAAAATGCTTTACATGTATAGCAGTGGAATGAGCTTAACACCACTAACAGATATTGCTGTTAGTCTAAAAAACCACTACATATAAGAAGAGCAGAAATACTTCTGACACATGTAATTGCATCATGATGAACCAATCAGGTAAATACACAGCGTACTGGTACAGTTGTATGACAGAACCATATAACTGCAATATTAGTTATACTACTGGTAATTAATTGCACATTATTGTTTCCTAGAAATGAGGTCTTTTGTAACACTAATTAGTATTATTTTTACTTAAGCAAGGACAGGCAAGAAGCTTTTTTAATGTTAACTTACTTTCTTACCCTGACAAAATTTCATGTTGTGATACCATCAGTGAGGAAACACTATCTTTGGCATCATCAATAATCTGTATGGGTTCAGCACTGCGAGATCTACAGTCCCAACAGCGTATTGTGGCATCATATGAACCTGAGATAATTACTGTGCTATCTGGCTGATTGAACTTAACGCAGTTGACTCGCTGCAATGCAACAAATAACAGTTGAGAAGATAACAACAGATGTGCATCTCTCACAAACTTATCCTAAAGGCACTAAATTATTAAGTTTTATCTGAAGAGTGGGCACAGCATCACAAAAAATAATGCTTAAAATAGTAATTATTATGATTGTTTGAATTGCATCTTCAACTGTGATGAACTTATTATTACTTCTTCATTCTGCAGTTCAAATACATAAAATTGACATATTTATCTCTTCATCTTTCCTGGGTATATTACGAACAAATTTTATTACCTGCAGCTCTCAGCTGGCTTGCTAACAATATTATTAGTTAATATCGTTAATATTGTTAAGAGAGCTGTACCAGTATCACAGAGGCCAGGATTAAAATCCAGGGGAGCCTGATTTTTTTAGGCTTTCTTTCAGCAACTACATGAGCTTAAGTCACGCCTTCAACTGTGATGATCTTTTGTTAATTTATCACGAAGATACTGTTGTAAATATTGTTACTATTCCCTGGAGGACTGTGAGGGGGGTCGGGCGTGCACAAAAGGAAACCGGTTGTTTCTATACAAAGTCGTTTCGATACAAACTCAAGCAGAAAAATAATTGCGCAAAAATTTCCTTCAATTCAAGTATAGTTTGCGCGTGAACAAGAAAAATGTTTTGGGTGAATATTCGTCGTTCTTAGCCAAGTAGGTGGAACTATTTACACCCCGTGCGAACTCGAACTCGAATGCTGAGAAATTTGTGCGTTTTCATATCTAGTATCCCTCGATAGAACTTTAATAGGGGGCGAACTCGAACCGGGCGAACTCGAAAGGGGGTGAAGCCGGCTGATTCCACTTGTATCGAAACGACTTGTACCGCATAAGAACTTACAGCAGTATGACCTCTAAAGCGTCTTAGAATCTGTCCTGTAGCCACGTCCCATTGTACTACAGTCTTGTCTGCTCCACAGCTAGCCAGTCGACTGTTATCACTGGATCCTACAGCATCAAGTACTTCATAACCATGTCCACTGTACGTCTTTAACAA